CATAGTCACCTCACAGGCTGTCCTTTTGGTGGTCTTTATCTACAAGTCAAACGAAGTTTAATAAGGGTAGAAGTAAAAGTGATCTGTTCCTTCCCCAGCAACTTGCCCAGTGGGATGGAAGGAAAATGGGGAGAGAAGGAATGGACCCAGCTACCTTTGGCTCTAGCATCACCATTGCCATCAAAACCTCCCCAAGAGATGACCCTGAGGAAATGTGGCCCCCAGTGGGGAAAAGCATACCCACCCATGCTTTAGAGAGTCCCTCAGAACACCAGTCCATTTAATCCCTTCTGGTGCCCATTCACTTTCAGTGGTGCTACCTGCCAACAGTGCTGCCCTGCTTAGATTGGTATAGTCAGCAATAGCAATGATACAAAATACAATTAGAATTATTTTTCAGTTTGTCAGTGGCTTGGCTATACATTTTGCACAGAAGGCTAAAATGAAGATTTGTTTGTTACATTGTGTCAACCCTTTCTACATGAAGGTCTCTACAGCTCTTATACATTGCAGAGAAAGTAGAAATATGAAAATTATCCAGAGATGTTATATACCACATTACAATTACAGGATTATTCTTCTCCATTTAGTTATTAACTGGAATATAACACACTGTGAGTGTAATCCATTTTCTGTTGGAGCAATTTCCTTTGGGGGAGAAAGATGACAGAGGCCATTTTTGCAATCAAAATGTATGAAATGTTTAAAGAGCGGATGCATTATTAAGTACTGAATATTCCAACAGTGATTATTTCTAAATATCTACAATGAAGTCAGCATGCTGGACTTGTTCTGTAATTAACTCACTTTTCTTGGTAGGGCATTAATGCTTGTAAGCACCGCAGAATTCTGATAGCTCTGTGTTGGTTAAAAAACCGCCATGCGTGTCAAAAGAGGTTTTTCCAAGAAAAGTGGCCTAGCTGATGTCCATTGTTTTTCACGTGGAAGCAGGCCTCCATAAGTAAGCAGGTGTGGAAAGGATTTAGGGGAGACAAGAAATTCCCAATCCAGTCTTATGTACCTTAGTGAGGAGAGTGTCTGCCAGTCTACTAGCTTAGTCGTTATGCTATAGGTTGCCATTTTTCCCACTGCTGTTACTGGTGTCCTCAGCAGGCATGCCATTAGGAATGGCAGGCAGACCACTCTTTTTAATTTGTGTTTCCAGTCACATGGTTAGGAACACTAATTGCCAAATGGCCTAAACTTGCTCGGCCCACACTCAGAGCATGTTGTGAGCGGAGCCGGGGGTCAGACTAGATGGTCTGGGAGGTCCCTTCTGACTCGCTCTGTTTCCATGTTTCAGACAAGCCCAAATGCCCATCCCTTCCAGAGCTGAAACACCAACATAGTCCCCCTTCCTGTGTTCCCCTTCCCTGGTTGTACCTCACAACAGTCACCCCCTCCCCATCACTCTCCATAGCCCTTTCCGCACTAGTCACAGGTGGCCTCCTCCTCCCAGCTCCTGTGACCCGCTTCCACTCTCCGTTGGGTCACCTCAGCCCTTATTACCTGAACCCCAGTCAGTTTGCTTTTTCCTCCCTCACTTCTGCCCTTTTCCTCCCTTTGATGGATTAGCCTAGCCCTTTCCTGATTTCCATATTGTTATCTCCCAGCTCCCCTCCATGAAAATTGGTCACGATGTGATACAGTTGAAAAATCTCTTTGCTCAAAGCTGAAACTGTTGTAAAGGTCGATTGAGAAGGTTATCTGTTAAAGGTAGCCCATTAAATCACTGAGGGAAGAGAAAGCACACAAGTACCTATATAGCTTAAAAACCTAAAATTCCCCTATAAAACAATGCCACTAGAGTAACACAACAGGAAATGAATGAAATGGATAGTAATGGCTTTTGTACTCTGTGCATTTGTGTGCACACATGTGCATATTCCCATGTTAGAGAAAAAAACACTCTTTTGTGGCAAGCAAAAATGAGACAACAGGCCAACATTGATATCCACTGTTTTCAGACAAAGCACCATGTTTCTAAAGCACAGTAATTATGTTTCTAATTACTCTCTTCATCACAGATGTTAGGCAGTCATTCCAATGTGAGATCATCTTATAATGTGATTTTTAAAGTGTTATTTTTCTTAATTGTTTTAATTCCACTTCCATTTAAGGGAGAGACATTTTCTCTTGCATCACTTCAAAAAGACTCAGTTATCAATGGTGACCAAGAAAATGCTTAATGCTGTGGAACACCCTGCAGCTTCCACCAACCCCCGCTGCGTGGCCTTTGTTACTGTCAACTAATGACATTGGGTCACAGTTAGTGAAAGATTTTCAGGGCATATAGACTACTTTAATTCATGACAACCCCCTGAAATACTTCTAAATATTTTCATGCAGCTTTGAAATCGTGCTGGGTTTGAGCAGAAGACATTTTTCTTTCCTTTGAAAAGATGTTGAGAACTTGTTTTGGTTATGTTGGGTGGTGTGTGTCTGTGTGTTGCTTCTCCCCCACTTTTCCTATTAGCTTCTTTTTAGCATGGGTACAGCACAATAACAGAAATCCTTCTACCCTTTTTAGGGCAAAGAGGAAAGACAGAATTTATTGTACTGGAGGTGAAGACAGGATAGATAACTGGCAGAGAAGGGGTAGCATCAAAACTATCATAAGCCACTGACTTTTCAAGCTCCAGGAATGGTTGTGTAAAACAAAGCTGGACCCATTTTCCACCTAGCAACAATACCTAAGAATATCCCATGGCTGAGGATGCCATCTCCTGAAAGTCAACATTCTGTTAGCTGGATGAGACCCTAAGGGAGCGCAAAAGGGTACAGAAATGGAGCCCTTGTATCTGTAGGCAGAATGGTAAAGGGACATATTCTGTGCTCCTAGGAGCAGATGTCCAATGGTAAAAGAGCAGAAGCCATAAATACATAAAAACCCTGGGAAAACAAATTGGAGAGCAGGGGGAAACCTGCTTTTCCTTTGAAAACAAGCAAACTGAATGCCCTTGTCTGGTAGCTAGATCTCAACCTTAAAAAAAGAAGAGAAAGCCTGGGCTGGTCAAAAAAGGACCAATTTGTAATCCTATCTAGGGAAACATATTTAGAATGCCTTTGTTCAGGGAAGGTTTGCAGTGAAACTCTATACCTGCCTATCTAGAAGTACGTCTGATTGAGTTTAACAGTGCATGGTCCAAGTAAGTGGGCATAGGATTGCAGCCTAAATTAGAGGGCACTGGGCTGGGCCTCTCACCTTGGTGATGCCAAAAAGTGTACAAGGTGTTTTCAGGGGAGGCCTTCCAAGCTACCGACCTCCTGGAACATAGGCAGTAACATGAGATGCCTTTTGATATATTGATCTTTTTAATTAATTTTCTAAGCTTTGGCAATGATGTTTTAATGTACATTGATTCTGATTGTCACTCTTTCCTTGATTGTGCATTGCTTTGAGCGCTGATCTGTGGTGAAAACATGATGCTGAAATTTACAAATAAATTATATTGATGAAATAAAAGAAAGGAAACAAGAGTCAGTGAGTTCTCAATGTTAGAATGAAGAAAGATCAAAAAGCATATAGACAATCCCTCTATAGGAATTACTCATTGCTAAATTAGTTTAAAATATATAGTAAGTTTACCTTTTGTAACAATTCTCCCATTGTTACATCTGTTCTCCATACAATCTGATATCACTGATGCCCCAGGTCAGCCTCTGTATGTATAACAGAATATCAATCTTAGCACAGAACTTGGACAACTGAAAAAATCAGTTTTGCTTTTTTGCCAAGGAAATTACAGCAATTTGAGTATAAAATGTACAAAGGAGTATACTTAAGTTTTGTTACATTAGGAAATATAGCAACCCATATAAAAATCAATTTAATGGGTCAGTTGTGTTTTGTCGGAATTTATGGAAAAACTTTGATGACATTATTGCACTGGTTCATTTGTTACGTTTATTTTTTGAGGAATGTCTCTTTCTTTTAAATGTACTTTATACATTTATAATATAGATTCATACCAAATGACTCTCCTTAAATACAAAGCCCATATTTAATGAAAGACCAACCAAAATTCTACAAAAGAATGTATGCTTTCATGTTCTCCAGAACTCTTTCTCAGGCAAAGCTGTACAAAGAGTTGCAGATGGGGAAAGGAACAGTAAAGCCTAAACATTTGGCCATATGAGACCACATGGCTGCAGTATCTGGTCATATCTCTGGGCATTATTATTTCTTTTCCCTCACCCCTAAAGTAAAAAACCCCAAAAGTTTCCACTTTTTTATGGAAACTTGGTTGGTCATAAGAATAAAAAAGATTGGTTAAGACCAAGGTCTGTATAGTCCAGCAGTGTGTGCACACCATGGTCAACCCCTGACTGTGGGGAACCCATACGCAAGACATGAGTACAGCAGCACCCTCCTGCCCATGTTCCTTAGCAGCAGGTATACATGGGCATCCTGCCCTGAGACTGGAGACAGCATACAGTTATCAAGACTACTAGCCAGTCCTTCCCCCCAGGAATTTGTCCAATCCCTTTTTAAAGCTTTCCAAATTGGTAGCCATCACTATATTTCTCAGTAGTGAATTCCATATTTTTAACTAGCTGGTGTAGGAAGAATTACTTCTCTCTTTCTGTCTTGAATCTCCCACCAATTAGTTTCATAGAATAAGGTTAGGTTCTACTATTATGAAAGAGGGAGAAGAATGTTTCACTCATCCACCTTCTCCACACCATGTTGCTCTTGTTGTGCACTGTCAAATCATCTTCAATTTATTGCAACCCAATGAATGACTGCCCTCCAAAGTGTGCTTTCCTTAGCGACCCTGCTCTGCTCTCAGACCCAAGGCTGTGGCTTCCTTTATGGAATCAAACCATCTCATGGTTGGTCTTCCCCTTCTTCTTCCAGCTTTGACTTTCCCCATCATGTTCTGCTCCATACCATGCATAATTTTAATAAAGGTCTCACCCCATTATGGTTGTTGGCTTTCCTTTGTCATTGTTGTTTTCATTAAATAGTATGTTATCTCTCTTTTGTGGCCACTCAGGAGAAAGGATGCTGGCCTCCTCTCTTACAAAGACCATCTACCCGTCAGTCAAGTGATAGTTGGAGACATTAGTCGGCCTGGCTCAGATGCCAAGTTAACTGTGGGCCCTCTGCGATGCCATGGAGATCGTAAGTTTGCTGTTACTTACTTTCTGTTAAATAGCTCCCTGTTTTATCATAATTACATTGTCTTCCCAAAATAATTTTGGGGAAACTCTTAAGGCCTGAAGTTGCTTTGCACAAAACCAGCCATAAGCATATTACTGGGATTAGCCACCCCTTCTTGCACTAGCAGAAGAAATCATCCCTTACAGGTGAGAGTGGGTTACAAGAAGGCAGTTGAGTTTCACAGAGGCTTCCCAGGACTGCAAGAGAATCTGAGGCTACCAGAGCTTTCCAGCTGTCATGCATCTGGTCCTTTGAGGTTTGGGAAAAGCCAGGGTAAGACCTCTTCCCACATTGCCAAACCTCACAGTGCCTTGACCACGAGCCTGTACATAATTCACATCCAAGAATACCCACCAATTCATCCAAATGTGTATTAAAATTGCCATTTAACCACACATATTAAAAAATTGTGCCTTAAGTGTGGGCAGTCATCTTTCCAGTAGGGTAAATGAGAAAAAAATTTAACTGTCTCAGTAAGTTTGTGGTGATAAATAGTAATGCAATCAGCAGCAGAGCAGTATTCAGTATCTGTAATGCTGTTGAACTCTGCTGTTATTGCCATTAGCATTACTATTTATTTTGTAATCAACTAACTTTATAGAGATACAAATAGCAACATTATAGCTAAATGTATCACTGGAAACACAGCCTATGACTATATAAATTTGTACATTATTGCTGGGGATTATCCATGTTAACAAAGGTGGATGCTGGTTGATAAACCAAACCTGGCTTTTCCATAGTTTTTGAGCACCAAGGTGGAAGGAGGTGTAGAGAGTTCACCTGATGTTTTGATTTTGGTTTGGGGAATCTGCTATCCACAGATCTATTTCAACCCACAGCCCAGATCTTCACTGCCTCAGTAGTAAAGTCCATGTCTTTCCCTTTCCACTAAATTGGGCACATCTGTGCTGCTTGAATTCCTATTGCCATGAACTGAGCCCCACTATCACCACCATCACTGGGTAATAACATAAATTGAGTAGGAGCAGTATATCGGACAGTGTCTCCTGCAGGAACACCGCAATAAGAAACTGACATCTCCTAGCATGCACCATTGTTGCCCCTGCCATGGATCAGTCCCTGCTCTGAGAAGCTATTTGCTGCTTAGCACCTCGTCAGCGTGCAAAAAATAATCCACAACAGATACTGCCTCTGGAACTATACAGACTCAGAAGTACAATTCGATGAGTCTCCTCCCTGGGCTACTATTTGGGTGCTCCAGCTGAGTACCGTCATGCATGACATGAGTCATCGATGATGCACCGGTTTCCTGCTCAAAGTCCCTGTGCTGCACCATTTGTCCTTGCTGTGCATGTCTCTGAAGCTCAGAGTATATTAAGACCATTAAGGATTGTGTTTACTGCAGTAATCTTAGTAATGTTACCACTTCTCTTGTTACTGGTCGTCATCATAGTAACAACTATATTTCAGTCCTACTAATTTACAGCCTGGCTCAAACCTGTGTGAGAAAGGTTTGACTGGGAATATCACTTACATTTGTTGGCTTGAACATTTGTTATCCAAGACTGCAACCTGCTATGCAGCGTGACTACGCTGTTTATTTTTGCCTCCGGCCTTTAGGGTCCAGAGCCAAACCTAAAATGTGTGCCATGGAAAATGATTGTTCTACCTCATCCATCTGTTTCTTTGCTATAAAAGCAATTACCTTGCTTTGTGTTATCACTATGTTCCATAGTATGTTTGCATCCTCTTATTATTTGTCAAAAGGGATTTTACAGGGGAAAATACAATCCAGAATTGGCAATTGAGATCAGCATGAATTCTAAGATAGAATTCAAATGTTTTGCTCCTTCAGCTTTGGGTTACATATTAATGTCTTTCTCTTTGACTTTAAAATCATCAGCAATATGCTTTCAATTAGCATAAGCCATTTTGCTTCTCTGAGGATTTTCTTAGTATCTTAAAACTGGACAATATTCATTTGGTTGAAGCTTCCAGATCTTTAGGCATCCATCTGTTTTACATGGCAAAGATTCTCTGAGTCTTGCCTGGGGTTTATCTACTATTTTAGAAAAGATAACTCTGCCAGCAAGCTGTGAGGGAATATGGCACATATTGCATTTGGATTTCCAATTGTTGATCACTCATCAGTGCAAGCTTAAGCAATTCTTTGGTTCAGCTTCATATGTTGGTGAATCTGAACCTAATATCTCAGTAGGTTTCCCAAGACAGCTGATCTTTCCCAAGATATCTCATTCAAGGATCCCATTCAGTTCTGTAACAAAAATGAAAGTGGGGTTGGGTTGCTCTGTTCTTCTAGTTTATATTATCACATTTGCTTTTCACCTTTCTGCAAGCAAGTGGGAAAGAGAAAAACAAAGTAAGTTTTAGAGAGTGTGTGTTCTGCTTAAGGTCACAGTTAGAGACAAAGAAAGCATATATCTCATGAAGGAATGCACCCTGTGTTGTATAGTCAATAAGTATTAGCTGGATTGTGGTAGCACTTAGAAGCTCAGTCCTTTGATGTCAGGAGTTAGACAAAGGTAATTTGATGACATTATTATTCCAAACCTGCTGTTAGATGAACTAAACCTATGCTACAGTTAAGACACTCTAACCATTATCTGAATATCCTTTTAGTATGATTTAGTTCTCTCTCAAGCATCTTTTGTCTTCTGTTCTGTGAAGAATCCCCATCACAGCAGAATGGTCTTCCTGCAGAGATATAACAGCTTGGTTCAAATATAATGTTAAGCCATGGTGTGGTTGGTTGAAATTTGGCTCATAATTTGACCTAATCCATACAAACTGTACTTCATTAACCAACTGTATACCATATATAGTATCATGGCATATCATGATGTCTGACCCTGGAACTGTGGCTTACCCCTGGTTTGTTTCTGTTGTAGTATGTCTTGAAAGGGAGATGTCTAACAAGAGTGGTCTAGAAGTGAAACTGCTCTGAAGGCTGGAGAAATGGATGGCAGAGAAACAGAGAAATGGAAAAAAAACATGCTCCAGTTGTTTACTCATTTGCAAGACAATTCATGGCTAATTCAAAAAGCCATGGTTAATATATCCATTTTTTACATTTTAATGTTTGTAAGCCATCCTGAGATGCCACGCATAGAAGACAGCATATAAATTTTTTAATAAATAAATAACCTATGGCTTGATATTATGTGCAAACACAACCTACCTGTTTATCCAGCAAATACCACAGAAACACCAGTTTATCTGATAAAATGTGAAATGATTCAAAGCATCTGTTCTCCTGACATTCTTGTAGTAAGATCTATGAGCTGAGGGATCTTGTGAAGTGATCCAACATGCATCATTTTTCAGCTGTCCTTTACAAACAACCAAAAACCTGAAATGGACACCAAGCAAACCAGCTGGACACTGGACACTGAAAAAAACCCCTCAGATGTTTTCTTGTAAGCATGAAATCTTAGCACAAGATAATTGCAAAAACCCTATGCAGCCTATACATTCTTTAGCAACTTGTCCTTGCTTCATGGACTTCCATTTTATTCTGTATCCATGATATTTTAATATGAGTTGTACTGGAAATAATATCTTTCATTGCAAAAGCAGAAGCCATAGATGTGCAGACAGTAAGGCTGGCTTGCATAGCATGCCATTCATCACCTGAATAACAACTCGCTAACCATGTATGGGGGTCCATGAGGGGCTCAGTTAACTTCCTGTGTTTGCTTGGGGCAAAAGTGAGGGAGTTCTCCATCACCTTGCAGGTCATGATTCATAACTGGTAGATCTGACACACCAAATCAAAATAAGTCAGGCCAGACAAGTTTCCTGTTCCCAGAGCACAGAGGGCATTCCTCTTGCCTGGTGATGGAATAATTTGACGTGCAGTTTCAAATGTTGGTTTTAATCTAGAAGCCAAAGACAATATGGATCAGACTTGTAAATTCTGCTTTACAAGTGTGATCATCTGCACTGTGTATGAACTGCCATCTGGAGAAAAAGTGCAAAGAAGCATTTCTAACCTTGAATAAAGTTGGGTCTTTTATGGAAGAAGTGTGCCATTAATGATTCACCAAAGGTATGTATGGATAGATGAACTAGTTAAAAGTGGAGAAAATTGTATGGGCTAGTAATTTTATGAACTCAGTTAAGGAGCTACCACAGTTAGAAGGTCCAGGGGATTGTCAGACATCCCTATCAGTTCCCATTAGGATCATTTGGTGTATAAAGCTTGCTGAAACTGTCCTCCTCCCTTCCCAACCCACCATTTCTCAGAATTCATATAAAACAGATGGGAATGTCTGGATAATAAGCCAGAGTATCTCTGTCCAGTCATTGCATACAGAAGAGGAACAATATTCTAAGACTTGATTTGTCCTTCCTGAGATCTTTTTCTGCTAGAAGGAAGGAGAAGAATGGAAAAGGTGGGTCACTATTCACATTCACATTCAAAATTTATGTTGTTCATTTCAGCTAGTTCTGTGAGTTTTATTCACCCAGTGAATCTCTTTCATCTTTCAGCTCTTGGCTCACTGCTACATTTTTTTAACTTCCATTTTCTTTCATTTCTGAGATGGCCAGAAAAAAACTGTTGCACTTATTGTTATAGTGTGACCACTTAGGGTTTCATGGAGTTCAATACTGTCCTGAATTTAATGTAGAACCATCTGAGGAGGAAAGTGGTCTTGAGATGTTGGGAATTTGGGAACTAATCAAAACTCTGTCCTTACAGTTGTTCATTGATCTCATGTTCTCTAGGGAAATATACCATGAGTTTTATTCATTGATTTTTATTGCATTTTATGTTTGACTCCTATGTCATTCCAGTTTTTATTTCTTGTCTAACTGAATTTTCCTCAAGTTATACTTTTCTATTCCCTTTTTGGAAGATATTGAAGTATTTTAACAGAGTGACACATTACTACAAATCTACAAACTGGTTCTTGGTTTGGGTGGGCAGCTGTAATATCTTGCACCGGATTTAACACATCATCAGAATCCCTCCC